TTGTCCATAAATCGGGTTATAGTGCTTCGATGCGAACGATACTTTATATCTGAGTTGTGCTAGTGTAGCACAAGTCAGCACAACCGTTATATTCGTCGGCACAACGACATTAAGGGCACTTTACTCTTGAGCGCGATCCTTCGCGCAAGGCTTTCTTGTTCAAAATTCGGATTTATAATGCTTCCATGTGAACGGTACTTTATATCTGAGTTGTGCTAGCGTAGCACAAGTCAGCACAACCGTTATATTCACCGACACAACGACATTAAGGGCACTTTACTCTTGAGGGCGACCCTTCGCGCAAGGCTTTCTTGTTCAAAATTCGGGTTTATAATGCTTCCTTGCGAACGATACTGTGTGTCTGACAGAGCACCAGTTTTTTTATATATTCTATTATTTATTTCGGACAAATTTAAGTACCTATTCTGTTAGTAATTTCAAGTACTTTATTTTATATAAACTTGAAATATATAATTCGAAAAATTCGCTCAGAATTGTCCATCCGACAAAAAGATTGATACACATACAGGATATTTCGCAAATCGATAATCACTACAATAAAGTTTTCAAAAAATCGATTAAACAAAATAATATGTGTTTTAAAAAACGTTATTTAAAAAAAAGCAGTAATTTTAAAGTATAAATGTTTAAATATATTCTATTATTGATTACGTTCAAACGATAATTTGTCCATGAATTTCCTATGCGCAGTAACATATTAATAAGCGCATACTTCAGCGTTTAAACGTAATCTGTGGCTTAGCGCATACTTCAGCGTTTAAACGTAATCTGTGGCCATATTTAAATTCTTATACAATTTGTGTCGCGTCACATTTATTTCTATCAACGTTTTTGTTCTTCAATTAATGGAAATATCAATCTGCTTTAAATTTAATTTTATTGTTAAATCATCTTCTGAAATCTATTGATTTATTCTGTAAGTTATTTGTAGGATATTTAACTGATTATGTGTCTTGTTGGTACGTTGATTAGATTTATTGAAATTTAATCTGCCAAAAAAGAAGTGCTTACATTGTTATATTATATTTCTAATTGTAAGATAAGTAGGAAATCTGTAAGAATGTTGACTTTATTGATTCGTAATTCCTGTCGTTATTTTTATATAACAAAATAATATGTTTATGTTTTATTGCATAAAGATCTTACAGTTAGTAAAAGCACAGAGAGAGAATTTCTAAAATTTATTTTATTACTACCTAGTTTCCTATATCGAGAAACACAAAAAAGCCTATAAAAAACTATATTATAAATTTTACATTTTTTTTTAGTTTTAGAAATTAAAATTACAAAAATTAATCAATACAATATATGTTAATAATACACATCTTGTAAATAAAATGACGTCTAAATTATGTGTATGTTTGAAACATAAAACTTTCTTTTTAATCTGTTGCTAAATACACTTAAATACTAAATACATTTAAATAATAATTTTTTTTGTATCCTATATAATAAATTTGTGTATAGCATAAAATATATAATAAACTTGTATATATCATAAAATATATATTAAGTATATAAAATACCTTATAAATATTAAAAATAAACTATATACAGGGTGGGCCATTTTAATCGATCCACCCAAATATCTCGAAAACTAAACCCAGTAGATAAAAATGTTTCAGACAAAAGTTGTTTGACTCGAAGGGGGACATAAGATGGTGCCATCGATTTAACCTTGGATAGTCCTCTGAAGGTCACGTGAAGGTCATCTTTAATTTTTTAAATGAAACTCCTTATTTCTCATTGCACATTCTTATAGCTCATCTCGAGAGCTTTCCAAAACACTATAATAAAGTTCATTTTCATTAAGTACTTTTCAAGTTATAAGGCTTGCAAGTTACAGCACCGCCAGCATTTAAGCATTACCCAAGAGTCCGATCGACGGCTAAAATCTCTTGAATGCTGTTCAGGATCATGATCTGGATAATATTTGTCAAGATCAAGGCCATTGGAGGTTGTTCCTCTTATTTTCATTTTTGCACTAAAAATTACATTTCTACGTA